AGCAGAGCAGAGCAGAGCAGAGCAGAAACAAAGACCTGTTTGTTGGCAAAAGGCTTTAATCCAAAGTTCTGTCTCTGTGAGGACCTTCAGTGCAGCTGAGTTCTGTACTGTGAAGCAGAACTTGAGGTTCTGGAGGTACCTTCAGGTTCAACTGTGAGTTTTCGGTACTATGAAGATGGTTCTGTTCTTACCGGGTACGTCTCCATGGTAACTGACGCTGAACTCCAGGTGGTGTTACAGCTCCTCCTACTGACCGCTCAGGTGTGTTGGAAGCTTCATCATTAGAAGGTCAGTGGAGCTCAGACAGGAAGGAGAAGATCTGAGGTTCCAGAGCTGCAAGATGTTAAAGTCATTTCATTGTTCTGTGTCTTCGTACGGCGCCGTAACCTTAAAACAGAAACTGATCGATAAACCTCTCAGTGGGATCGCTATCAGGTCGGTTCTGGTCCGTCAGAGCTGCTCTTCGTGTCTTCTCACTTTTCTCCACTTTTCCTGCAGTTTATTTAATAATGAAGAAGGAGGACTTTAGTTCTCAGCAGAACGACGCTGCCTCAGACTTGGTTTCCTGTTGTTGTCACTTTTTAATGCCTCGTTTTTCACGTCTTGTTCGCGCCCATTTCCTTCATTTATATCCAGACAAACTGAGGTTCTTGTATTTGGCCCTAAACACCTCAGAAACACACTCTGGAACCAGATAGCTGCTCTTGATGGCATCGCCTTGGCCTCCAGTTCTTCTGTAAAGAACCTTGGAGGTATTTTTGACCAGGACATCCCAATAACTCTCAAAAATCTCCAGTTGATCCAAAATGCTGCAGCCAGGGTTCTGACAGGAACCAGTAAGAGAGATCTAGAACATAGGAGATCGCAGTTAGTTGGTGTTTTTGGAGCCTGGATTTGAGTTTGACTAGGACTAGTTGTCAGGTCGCTGTCAGTCTTTGTTGGAGCAGAGCACTTCCCAGTTTCCCTCTCTGAGTTTCAATAGGTGGGCCGTTCCCTCTACTGTTACATGACTGAAAATCTTAAAGGGATGGGTTCAGCCATAGCACTTCCTGGTACTTAAACACATGTGCTATGCTGTAGTGTCAGCAGAAGCGTCAGCCCTCATTGTGGGAGGACTGTAGCGATCCCGTCAAAACAGGCCACAGCCCACATTCATTCATGTTGCCTCTGATACCACCCACAGTCATCCAATCATCCAATCCCCATCTTTCCACATAGCCTGCGCAGTTTTGA